CATAGCTGGGGGCGGGGAGATGAAGAAGATTCATACCTTTCTCAAGGGTATTAGCACGAATGCAATTGATTCGACTGGAAATCTAATTCGTCTCTCCATTTCCTCAATCCAAGCTGCTATCAATTACTCCACTGTGCCTCCCTTTTTATATAGGGAGTCCCATAATGATGGGTCACATTTTAAATGCGAGTATTTTGGATTATAAAAATGACATAAAATACAAAATATATTTATTACATAACTGATATTGTAGGAACATTGTTATTATTATAAATAAATAAAAATAAAATATAAAATCATAATAATACGGAAAAGTATAAATAAAATAATAATATTTAACTTTGTTTAAAATAAATTAGATAAAAATTAAAAATAATAAAAATACTCCTAGCATACAACAAAAACTGTTTCTGCCGGAAATACGGACATCCCACCAAAAGACGTTAAATTCAATCTGTTCACCACGAACCTTGGTACGGACAACACGTGTCCACCTTCTCTCTGTGATATGGCTTTTAATACTACGGAGTAAATTTCTACCTTATATCACATGTACCATAAAACAATTGTAACCTGAAATAATACACACACCAATACACACAAAAAATATAAATAACTTGTATGAAATTAACATACAATATATCATTCTTCCCTGTTATTTCTGGACGTTGCATTTTCTGACAAGTATGCTTTTATCACCTTGAAAACGAAGCTAATTTCAGTTGATATGATGTGAATGAATCCGCCAAAATATACAAGTGTTCAATATATTAAATAAGATTTGAATATTGCACCAATGAGATGGCCACAACCAAGAAGAAAATGTGCACGAGCTTGCACTACGTATGCAATTTCTTTTCGAATCCACGGCATCGGGGGTCCAACGACAGCGATAGAGATATCAGATATTTGTAGGAAATAGCAAAATCTGTAATCATATATTGAACTCTTGTATACCAGTTATGTAATAAATATATTTGCTTCTCTATGTCAGTTTTATAATCCATGATACTTGCTGTCTCCCACAGTTATGGGACCCCCTATGTTTTAGTTCCGACCATTTCTATTGTTTTTTGGGGTTTTTTTCAATTTTTTCTCTCTTTCATATGCGACGTCTGAAGGTAAAGTTCTCTCGCCAAAGCGAAATATTTTCTTTTAATTTCTAATCACTTTTTTTTAAACCAGCGAACGCGATTTCTTCTTTCTTCTTTTTTTTTTTGCCATATTAAACCAAGGTGAGAGTCACATACTAATACATATTTCTGTAAATATTATTTCATAGCATTTAACTCCCCAGGTGTTATGTAGTGGGTTTCACAGTGGAGGGTTGTATTTGTACTAAGTCGGTCCTAAAATAGGTTCGACGTACAAAACGTTAGGAATTCGATATAATAGGTAATGACGCAGAGTAACCTAGTTGGGGTGGCTGATACTTTAATATCCGACTAACGGTCGTCCGACATCGACTGACTGACCAGCTCACTGCCGACTGACTTGTTACTCTTACTACTCCTACTTATTATAGGTGGGAGAGTCTATTAACTATAGAATAGGTGTGTTCCACTATAACACCAGGTAAGTCTTTTGGGGAAAATATAATATATTTTCGTCTCCACATGAAACTCTATATAAATATTAGAATGGCGGTTATTGTCTGAAAGAATTGAATACATGTTATGGTAAAAATAAGCGCAGTACTAGACTGTCGCCGAGATCTAATCAATTTACAGTTTAGTTAACTAGATATAACCGTAAGTTCTATGCTAACAGTTTCTTTTCTCGCGTTTCTCGTTCACGGAACTCCCTTCTGGCTCCTTGCTTTCCAGCCAAATTTAATCTGTAAAAATTTAAATGTAATGTCAATCGCTATTTACTGTTCTCCTGATTACTCTTCTTTTGTAATTGCTCATTAGTGAATTTCTGTTCCTAATTCTTCCACATCTTGTGCCTTAGTGGTTTCACTGCTTTGCATGGGGTGATACCGATTTAAACAAAATTGTTGTGACCAAGTAAATGGTTAAAGAAATAACAAAACAAGTGTTCCAGATATATCATATATTAAACAATAAGTACAACAGTAGAGTATTACACGACTAGTGAGCGTGTATCGGTTGATCCAGCGTTCAATCTATTCGACTGCTGATATTTAACAGCACCCCTACGAGGGGTGTATGTGGCACAAGGCCGAGTTTACTGTGGGTTCTCCGAGCCCGTAGACTCGGCTAAAAATATTCCCTTTGAACCGGCATAAACAAATTCAGGGTCTGTCTATCTCCCCGGACGAAACTTTGCCCTTCGGCATAGCCGCGTCCGGGTTCCTCTCTGCTCAAGGCAGGGAGTTCGATATTATATTATCGAGTTATATTTAACAGCCTCCCACCCCTATGAGTGATGTATGTGGCACAAGGCAAGGTTTACCGTGGGTCCTCCCATCCCGTAGGCTCGGCCCAAAATATTCCTTTAGAAGCCGTATAAACGGGTTCAGGGCCTGTCTACCTCCCCGTACGAAACTTTGCCCTGCTGCAAAGCTTCGTCCAAGTTCCTCTCTACCTCGGCAGAGAGTTCAACAGAAATGAACAGTCTGGTCGACTGATCCCCCAAGGCCTTTTCTCCTACTAATCTTATAGTAGGCGGAAAAGTCCAACGTAGACTCTTTAGAGGGTGGACATCACAACAAAAATGAATAATAAAGATTTTATGCGTTAGCAAATGTGATTGATTAAGTAAAAAAAACAAAACAGGATAGTGTATAGCAGAACCGACCTCTTTCCATTTTTCAGCCTCATGCCACAACTTTTTAAAATTGTTTTATACATAAAATATAGATCGCCATATATTAAATGTCAAATACTCTCTTTGGCGCGTATATAGCAAAAACGACACGTTGGATATAAAACGTGCCTTATAATATATCTGGTAACTTCTTAACATGAATTGATCTTGAGTTGTTCTGATAAGTCTTTTTGTCTCTAGTTTCAACCCAGAGCTCTAAAACCACCTACGGTCGAAATGTTCGTCGAAGTGTGTTCCCAGTAAGTATTGGTCATATAAGGGATTTTCTTTCTATTTAGTTTTCGGGTTGGTTAAGGCTTTAATTTTTTTTCATCATTTTGTCTACTTTGTAAGAACTACACTATTTCGTCGAACCAACTTTTAATTGTTGTTGTTCCCAGGTCCACTCTGACCTGTAGTGGTAGCACCTGTTGGGGCCCTAGCTATGGGCAAATATTTAACCCACAAACTTGGATCAAAACACTATAAAAGTATAAAGATACATTTGTCTATATTAAAAATACCAGCAATACATTTTCATATTAAAAAAATTACAAGCCATATATTTTTGAAAAAAATTACTAATGCTCCCAAGAACACTAAATTTCATTATTAAATGACCCATAAGAAGTTTATATGCCGCTAAACAAACAAGGAAAAAATCTACATCTCTTTGTGATAATGCATTTTATATACAGTTAGAAGTTTTATGACATTTTCTCCATACTCGTCAGTTTTTTAAGTTGGCAATTTATCACAATTATCAAAAAACTATGTAAGAAAAGTTTTGTTATTTCATACAGTATCCCTTCAAGATATTGACAGATTTCTTTTCATTATTATTCGTGAACTGCCATGACTTAACTGTAAAAGACAGTGGCGTGGTTTCCCGTTACCCTCTCCATAGTTGTGAATGTAGAGTACACCTTCCCCTAGAAAAGTTACCACTCAAAGTTTAATCCGCGGGGAGAATACACGGATTTATGACTTTTCTAAAGTCATTAGTGCGAAAACGGACGAAGCGGGCTTAGGCTGGAATTTGAACTCGGCTCTTCTTTTCCTATTTCAGCGCCGACTGCTGTTACTCTAACCGCAAAGATTCTAATAGCGATAAACTTACTTTGTGAAGGTAGCAGTTCTTATTCATTTAAAACAATTCTCTCTGTTATTATTTCACGGCTACCTGTTGGATCCCTTATTTATTACTGCTTTCTACATAGTCGTATACATTTTTTCTGCTCCAGTCCAGTGCATGTTTTATAGATGTTGTCGATACCAGTTCACGTTTCTTTAAGCTTTACTTGTAACATTTATGCAGGTCAAATGCCTTGTTAATATTGTTATCGAATTACTTTACTGTCCCCTGTACAGCCGAATTATTATTCTAACTAGTTCATTATCATTTAAAAGAAAAATTTCAAATCACCCATGTAGAACAAGTGATTAATAAATTTATTAAATATGAAATCGCATAATTTAGTTTCGTTGAGATCAAGTGGTGCTAATGTAATAATGAAAACTAGAGGCAAAAGATCTTGAAATATTTTAATGTTGATCGGCAAGTTATTCAGTTTGAGTTTACCATTGGGTTGGTTGAACATTAATAATATATACTATTTCTTTTCATATTGTCATTTAGAAAATTAATAAGTGTAAAAGAAATTTTCATTAATTATTGACTTTATTATGTGTGACTCTTGAAAAACCTTTCTAGTTTCTCTATGCTTTGTTTAGGTTCGAATTGGTTGAGCAGCAGCATATTTTTTCCCGACGAAAGAACATTTTTGATAGTTTTTACTCTACAGTGATAACGCTATTAATTCCAAGGAACTGATATATTGTTTCATTCAAAGTCGATGCGCGTATTTTGTATGGATAAATACGTGATTGGTTGGTAATTTGAGGTATGACATTGTCATCAGTTTTGGACGATTAAATAAGTAATGATAGACATTTCGATTTTACTCAGCGTTAACGATAGTATTAAAAAAAAAATAACAGATGTTATAATTGTTTTCTGCATAGATGGGAAAGCATTTATCCAGAAGTTAAATAAATTATCTATTAGCCGTGGTTTCTACTTATTTTCTTTCTTCAGTGTTTATTGTACTTCTTTAACTTTTCTGTTACTCCACAACAGAAAGGTTTTCTCGTTGTTCTTAATCCCCTCTCAGCCATTCTTATAATTAGATTCCCTCCCCATTTCTTATTCCAGAACTCTCTCGAGCTTACGGCCATATCTCGTTGAAACCCCGGTTTTCGCAAGACCACCGAATTTAAGCAACGTCGAAACTGATCAGTACCTCAATGGGTGACCGCTTGGGAATACTAGGTGCAGTGTGCTTGGATGCGCGTGGAATGCAACTGATAACGACTCGGAGTGGAAAACTGCAGATCCGAGATTCGAGTCTGGACCTTCGTATTGATGTACGCGCAAATACCCTTTGGAAAAGTTATGAAATCAACTATTCTCTCCAACTATAGATTAATTAGTAGGACTTGTATTATTCCCCAAAATCTATCACAATCTAAAAAGATTTTCTGGCTTTAAATAACCTGTCAAAGGTTGATAATCCGTAAAACACAAATCAATCAACTCTTTCAGTTCTTCACGTAGTAGTGTTTATCAGTAGGGTTCGTTAAATTCTCAGCCCCCCTATTTTCGTATTAGTTTTAAAAGTCTTCCTTTTTTTTTCATGCAATTTATTTCTTTTCTTTCTTCTTTTAGATAAATACGTTAAGACCCCATTTACACTTAGTAGGTAATTTTTTTCGTTGCTCTACTATATCGAGTGTAACAGCAAATTTGTTCAAATCGTGTAACAGCAAAATTGTCCAATTATTAGATTAAACTTTGAACCGTCGCATCTTAGAAATTATTAAATATATATTACCGGAATTCTCCGAAATTTTTATAACAATATTGGACACTAAGAATGTATAAATTCTCTCTAAGCTTAACAGGAGAATCGTGATGAAATCGATCATAAACGAAAATGACATGTTCATCATTAATTAATCATAGCTAAGGATCGGAAGCTCATGAAGTATTGGAATAAAGTTCAAATATATATATTTATTACTCAAAGATCATTTTCCAAGTCACTAGGTGACGTCTGTCGAACTCTCTGCTTTGGCAGAGAGGAACCCGGACGAAGCTTGTCCAGGGAGGTAGACAGGCCCTGAACCCGTCTAGGCGGGTTCAAAGGCTATATTTTTGGCCGAGCCTACGGGCTCGGAGATACCCACATTAAACCGGCCTTGTGCCATATTCAATCCTCGTGGGTGGATCGATAAATACTAAGATCATTTTCCAACTTATTCAAGATGATCTTCGTCTTCTCTAACCTTCTAACTTTCTATCCTGTAGTAACAAAGTGCTTCACAGGTTTCACATACGATTATCATTTTCAAGACTTTTGTCCCCTGCTCTTTGGAAAGTCATAACTGAAACTCCTCTCTCACGTGCCAAACGTCTTGTGGAGTGAGTTGGATTTTTTTTCTAATTGATCTCTTTAGCTCTACGTTGAAATGTTACAACTTTTTAAAATTTATTCACCGTTCTCTTGATAGTTCTTGAATGGCCTTTAAAGATGGAAACCAGAATATGAATGTTGGTACCATTAATGAAGGCCTGAATGATCTTTTTCCTCTCACCTTTGCCCAGTTCAGAAGACAGTAAGTCTGACACAAAGCAATTTTAACCTGCTCTCTTTTAAGGTGAAATGTTTTTTTTTTCAGCGATTCTTAAGAAAAACGGCGTCAAGTTGGCTAAACGTCTTATCTGAAAACATGAAAAAAAGAAACTCAGTTTGGTGTTTCTTTAGATATTAAATATTTTGTTGAAGAGATAATTATGTTGTTACACGATTTGGAAAATTTTACTGTTACACTCGGTATGTAAGTTCCCTTTGTAACAATTTACTGTATTTTTTTATTCCTTGTGTTACTTCATCTAATATTGAGATCTCAACTCGCAGAAAATCAGCCTAATTATCTATCCCACATTTCTATAATACTATATCTTTTCAACTTCAAAATGATAATAATCAACTTCAAAATGGACTTATTTTCAAGTAAAAAAATTAATCAACTCCAAAATGGATTAATCAACTCCAAAATAGATTAATCAACTTCAAAATGGATTAATCAACTTCAAATTGGATCAATCAACTTCAAAATGGAACAATCAACTTCAAAATGGATTAATCAACTTCAAATTGAGAAAATGTCAAAAAACTAAAAACAATCAACTTCAAAATGAGAATAAACAACTTCAAATTGAGATTTTTTTTTTTTTTTTTTGTAAATTGAAATATTGGATGTATTAGTAATAATGGATTAATTTATCATAAAATTAAAAGAGGTTCTTTCAAAAAAGAAGATGCGATAGAATGGACAAGGGAGTGCCTTAGAAAGGCAAATGAAATTTGTGAAAGAGGAGTTGTCTTAGTTATTGATAACGCCCCTTGCCATACTTCAATTGAAGAAGTTGTGGAGGAGGATGAATTTAGGTAACACCAAATTTTCAGACTTGCCATATATATATATATATATATATATATATATATATATATATATATATATAAAAAAGACAAAAGAAAAAACTTATCGTAGCCGATGCGTTTCATCCTCTGAAGGATATATACATATTTTACAAATGGATTAAATCCGACAGATTTTTTTAATTTATGTGTTTAAACGTTATTTTTGAAAAGAATACATATATTTAAGTAGATGCTCTGTTTTTATTTATTTATTAAACAGCGTATTTATTTATTTACATTTACATTGGATATATGGCGATTACAATGAGTAGAAAAGAGACAAACCACTTAAGGAATCTCAGTACTATAAGAAAAAACCCTAATAATCCAAACAAAGTTTTTCTTGATAGCATCATCATTCTAAAGGAATCTAATCTATTTATTAAAATGTACATTTATTTAGGCCGATAGATGTACATAAGTAAATATAGTTTTGAGAAATAAATAAAAACAGAATATCTAATCAAATATGAGTATCCATTTATTTTAAAAATAATCTTAAATTATGAGTATCCATTTATTTAAAGTCATCTTTATTATATATATATATGTGTGTGTGTGTGTGCGTGTGTGTGCGTGTGTGTGTGTTTGATACATGAAAGCGTATCGTATTAAACCAATCATCTACATTGGATATATGGCGATTACAATGAGTAGAAGGCTGACAAACCACTTAAGTGATCTCACTACTATAAATAGCCGGTAATCATCCACACAAAAATTCTTCCTCATAGCATCATCATTCTAAAGGAATCTAATCATAGACGACGTCTTCAGATAATAGAAAATCTTTATATAAAACAATTCAAGCCAAACCTCAGCTTTATGTAAATAGTTAAAATTATATTATCAGTACCAAACAGTTTCATGCAATACACATCATGATAATGGTTATTACATGAAACTCGGAGGATATATAATGGTATATATATATATATATATATATTATAAATTAATTGATTTAAAATATGGTTATTTTCGCTACACAGTTCCAACCATGTTTCAAAAATAGAAGCTAAAAACCCCTAATTTTATTTTTGCAAATAAATTAAAAGATAGTTTTGTAGTCTGTGCCATTTATATTACTTAAATATTTAAATATAATAGTTTAAAAATTGTAATTTACATATACTTTGTTATGGAAAATAATTATACTTACTATGAGTAATTATCCTTCTGTTATAAAGTAATATAGTCAATTAAAACTAACCATGAAAATATTTTAAAATTTTAATGTGGTAATTTTAAAATTGTAATTAAAATTGTAGTTAAATAAAATGAATTCTAACCTGTTCTTGGTACATACATATGAAACTTTACTACTTAGGTTACATATATTTAAAATAAATAAATAAATTAAGTAATAAATAAAGTTTACTAAATCCGAGAAATGACTTGGCTAATTTTGTAGTAAGTTCCATTAATATTACTAAAATAATATTTTAAAATATAAAGGTTTAAAAATTGTAATTTACATATACTTGGATATTGAAAATAATTTTACTTACTATGAGTAATATTCCTTCTGTTATAAAGTAATATAGTCTAATATAACTAACAATGAAAATATTTCAAAAAGTTTAAAGTTTGTAATTTTAAAATTGAAACTAAAATTAAAGTTAAATTGAATGAATTCTAACCTAAGTTTCTTTTAAATAATACTACACGCACTAAAAAGAATCCCAAAAAAGCAAATATAGTAAAATAAAATTAATATGAAATGCCATAAGATGTAAGCTTTTGAATGACCCATGTCCTTTGTACTTACATGAGAAACATTATATCACTAGGTTTATATATATATAAAAAAAAAAAAAAAAAAAAAAAAAAAAAAAAAATGTAACCTCATATACATACTTAAACTTGAATTAATACATAAAGTTTACTAATTCTGAGAAATGACTTAGATAGTTTTGTAGTCTGGGCCATTAATATTACTTAAATAATATCTAAATTAAAAGTTTAAAATTGTAATTTACATATACTTTGATAGGAAAAAATTTTTTACTTACTATGAGTAATTATCCTTCTGTTATAAAGTAATATAGTCTAAATTAAAACTAACAATGAAAATATTTTAAAATTTTAAAGTTATAATTTTAAAATTTTAAAATTGAAATTAAAATTGTAGTAAAATAAAATGAATTCTAACATGTTATTTATACATACATATGAAACTTTATTAATTAGGTTACATATATTTGAAATAAATAAATTAATTAATTAATAAATAAATAAAGTTTACTAAATCTGAGAAATGACTTAGCTAGTTTTGTAGTAAGTGCCATTAATATTACTTAAATAATATTTAAATTTAAAGAGAAGAAAAAAAAAAAAAAAAAAAAAAAATTTACATATACTTTGATATGGAAAAATAATCTTACTTAATATGAGTAATTTTCCTTCTGTTATAAAGTAATATAGTCTATTAAAACTAAACAATGAAAATATTTTAAAATTTTAAAGTTGTAATTTTGAATTTGTAATTAAAATTGTAGTTAAATTGAATGAATTCTAACCTAAATTTCTTTTAAATAATACTACACGCATTAAAAAAGAATCCAAAAAATAACACCTATAGTAAAATAAAATTAATATGAAATACCATAACATGTAAGCTTTTGAATGACCCATGTCCTCAGTACTTACATGTGAAATATTATAATAATAGGTTTATATATAAAAAAAAAGTTTACTGAATCAGTGAAATTAGTAACCATTTCTGCTGTCATAGTCATAAAAAAAAAAAAAAAAAAAAAAACCTCATATACATACTTAAACTTAATGTTAAAA